ACTAAAATTCACATGATTTTAATTTTACGACCGCGCAAATAAGCTTAGGCTATATTAATGAACTGAATAGAAAGATTTATTGGTTATCTGTAATATATATATATATATATATATATATATATATATATATATATATATATATATATATATATATATATATATATATATATATATATATATATATATATATATATATATATATATATATATATATATATATATATATATATATATATATATATATATATATATATATATATATATATATATATATATATATATATATATATATATATATATATATATATATATATATATATATATATATATATATATATATATATATATATATATATATATATATATATATATATATATATATATATATATATATATATATATATATATATATATATATATATATATATATATATATATATATATATATATATATATATATATATATATATATATATATATATATATATATATATATATATATATATATATATATATATATATATATATATATATATATATATATATATATATATATATATATATATATATATATATATATATATATATATATATATATATATATATATATATATATATATATATATATATATATATATATATATATATATATATATATATATATATATATATATATATATATATATATATATATATATATATATATATATATATATATATATATATATATATATATATATATATATATATATATATATATATATATATATATATATATATATATATATATATATATATATATATATATATATATATATATATATATATATATATATATATATATATATATATATATATATATATATATATATATATATATATATATATATATATATATATATATATATATATANTATATATATATATATTGTGCTTATTTTATATTAATAATAAGCAATTCAAATTCCATTCGATAAATTATTCCAAAAATTTTAAAGTGAAATGAATAGAATAGTTTATAGTTATAAAGGATGTATATGTTAGCCTTTGTTAAGTTTAACAAATACATAAAAGAAAACTTTAATAACCGTAAACAACTGGAACAAAATGTAACAAAAATAGAGCGAATTTTAAAAAAATAGAATAAAAATAGAACGATTTAACGAATAAAAAATCTGTCACACGTCGGAGTTGAACATGACAAAAACGAAAAAACATGACAGTAAAGTTTAAAAAAAATACTTTTACTATAATAAATTTGGAAAGAAATTAAATTCTTGGTTCTTTGAAAAAAATAAATAAAGCAAACATTCTTTTGAAAATAATGCGAGAATAAATAGGAAAGAAAGTATTTCGAGAATTGGATTTTACTTCTACGCTCTAGAGTTTGTTTGCTGCTTAGTGAAATTCTTATCAAATTCTTCCTCTTATTTCGAATTAAATTTAGTCGAACTGATTCTATGCTGTAGAATTTCAGAAAGAAGTATAGATTATGTATATATTTATTATTCTGTATTCAAGCTCATATTTTTAAAAACCCTTACAGATTCCCGTGTTCTTCTTTCTTTCATTTGACTACTGAAAAATTTAATAAATTTGACAAATTGTATCCCTAATTACTTTGATAAATCTTATCCGAAACCACTTTTAATATATAAATTTAACGTTGTGGATTTAAAAGCTAAGCAGTGTAAAATATTTATTGTGTGCTTTGATAAAATGGAAGAGAACATGATTCAGTTTTAAGACTCACCTTTTTAAATTCTACAAGATTTTTTTTTCAATCAAAAACCTCTTTTTGAGATTTTAAGTAAATATTGATTTAGGAAGGAAAATAAAATTTAACTTAAGGTTTAAGACATCCAAAAATTTTGCACAGTTCATTCAGTAATTAGGTTTGAAATTGCAATTAATTATTTTTGTTATATCTGATGATTATTTCGTTATTAATTATGAAAATAACCAATGCGAGAGTTGGTTATCACTACGTTAAATTTTTGGTTTAATCTAAATCGTTTGCGGCTTCCGGGGATCAATTGGTACGTCATTTTTAATTAGTAGGATTTCAAATTTGCCGATATTTAAAATCGTTTAGTCAAAATTTATGATAATAGTATGAACTCAAACTGAACAATTGTCAGTGTTTTTATTTTTACCTTCTCAGTTCGAGTATTTTTTGGGGCATTTCTCAATTAGATCTGACGAAAATAGATATTGTGGTAAATTAGGTATAAAAAAATAGGTTTTGTTGCTCAGTACTATAACATATTACGAGGTTTTAAACAAAAGGCATGTTAAATTGCTTAACAAACTTCTTGAAGGATACTAAAATAAAATTTTGAATTAAGCGAGCTTTAAGCTAGTATTTCATTTATTCTCTAGCAGTTATTGTCAACTTTTACTTTTTTTAAAAAAATTAAAAGATAAACAATTTTTAACGATGTTGTTGGTCTCTTCTGAAACAATAAAAACAAGTTTTTTTTTTAATATTGCACGTGAAGAATTTAAAGAAAGGGATAAAAATGATAAAAAAATCCTAAGAAGTCTATATGTTAAAACACGGAGACAATCAGTGAAGACGTTTAATATATTATTAAAAAAGCTTAATGTGTATGTAAGGGTTTACCAATGGATTTTTGCATTTTGGATACTACGCACAAAGTATACATCGCAAGAAAATAAAAAAAATAGCTAGTTGTTTATAACCATTCCAAATTATTAAACTTTGAAAAAAAAAAACATTCAAATTGGTTTTATGTTCTCATATTATTTAATTTACCAGGAGAGTAAGCCCCTTACCCGCTACCACTCATCAACCCCGAGGATTGCTTCGCAAAAATTTTATTTTCCTTGAATAAAACAGTTTTTCTACGAAAGTTTAAATTATTCACTTAAACTATAAGAACTATAAGGAATTCTGTTTGCTTACCCCTTCACCCTCACTCTCCACTTCCAACATTCATTTCCTTAAATTAAATGTTTATTTTGAGTGAAATTTGATTGGTAAATATTATGAAAGATATCGTATGATTCTAATAAGATATATTAGTAAACATAAACAATTTTGCTTAGAAATACACTATTTAAAAATAACATTTAATTGTTATAAAAAATTTGCTGAATTCGTAACCATATTTTAATACTTTCGTTTACCAACAGGCTGATATATTAAATACAATTTGTGCATAAAGCTGATTGCTGAGTTCGATTATTTAACGAGTCTCTCTAACGGTAATTTATAACAGCATATTAATGTCATTTACAACAAAAAATAATAATTGTACAATAGTCAATAAATTAGTTTATCTGAAAACGTATTGCAAAGAGGTAATATTATAGAATTACGTTATAATAAAGAAACAGATTAAGGTGTTGAATCGGAGCTCTTTGGCTTGGCGAAAATTTTCCTTCAGTTTTACTAAAACCCAATTTCTCGTTACCATGACATTCTTTGCTGTATTTGCTTTCAATGACGTCATCTTCGGATTACATCAGCTATTGTTTACCGTTATATGATTAGTTCCTGGTTTTTATTTTTATATATATTTTCAAATCGGCAAATACAAGGGAGGCCCTGGTTGTAAACCATTAACGAGAAAGTTTTAAGCTCCTATATAAGTTGCACATATATTCGTTTACGTTACACCTTTAATTATAAGTTACTTGATCACATTACTGTTGTAATTAATTACATTTACAATTTTTATACTTTACAAACTTCTTTACTCGAGAATATGGTATATTTAAATTTGACACCCTATTAAAGATACGACGTGTTATGATTCCAGGTACTCATATTATGGTTCAACATTGAACCAATTTTTCTAAGAGAAATGTAATTTTGAAGTCTAATAGTATTTTGAAGAATAATAGCACAATTTAAAAAAATACAGTTCAAAGATGAACCAGAATATAATACAAATTTGATGTAAGATTAATAGGATTTTAAATTAAAGCAGGCTTCCTAAGTTGAACCTAATTATCCTGCAATATTGTTTTAGAAAGGCGATAATGTGGCTCAAATTAGCACCATGTTAAGGTTGCAGAAAATTTGAACGATAGTATGGTTTAACACAATGCAATATTTCAAACCGCATAGATTTTGAATAGTAATTTCGCCTCATTTTCTTTTTCAATATCGAAATTTAACCTACAGTACAGTATTAGTCTTTATAGAGTGAAACTTGCAGGGGAAGCAGGGAAAAGTTTAAGGATTGAGAATTGCATAGAAATCCATGGCCGTTAATGTTATCGATTAAAAACTGCTACTGCGATTAAAAACTGCTACTTTCCAATTAAAAACTGCTACTGCGTGTGCCTTTGATCAGGTACTTTTAATAAGCTCACCGAATTATCAAATTACCGTGAAAAAGTTATTTCTGAGCATATTTGAATGCAATAATTAATAGAAATCATAAAATAAACTCAAAATTAAGATGATTTATATAAATAAAGGTATCTGCTCAGAGGCACAAGTAGGAAAAATTTATGAAAGAAAAACATTTCTAACGGCGTAAGACGACATTCCCAGCCATGGGTTCTTAGTACTTATAATGTGCCCGACCTTTCTCTCTAAGTTTGCACAGTGATATTAGAATCACCCTGCATATTTTGAGTCTATACATGACCCTAAGTCGCGATGGCTCAGTGGTAAAGAAATGAGTTATCATTACAAAGAATTGGGATTCAATTCTCAGTAGTAGTATGAAACCCTCCTAGCTTCAGATCAATGGGCGCCAACACGTCTGGGAAGTAAAGACCATTTGGGCGTAACGCTGACCATATTGTCACTATCATGCCGTTGGTCACGACATTAAGGAGATTTGACAACACTGAATCCTCAGATCTACAATGAGCTATTGCGGAAAAGCTTTGCTTTTTAATTTTATATGCCTAATGTACGTCGAGCAGATCAGAAATATATGCCACATTTCGGTTCATTTTTGTGTTATAGATTTTATGTTTTTACAATAATTCAATATGTTTTATGTAATTTTCAGGAGGTGTGTTTTTAGAAGACAATCCCTGGAGTTGCAGTTGTGAGCTTCTTTGGATGGGTGACTGGATGCGTAGGTGGTTGAGAGAAACATTTCGGGTTCATGTTCTTAACGTCGAAGCATCACTTTATGTCAACAATGTAGCCAAAAAAGCAACGTGTTCCTTTAAAAACAATGTCACTTACTCGATTGTACACTTAAAAGAATCTGATGTCAATTGTCCCAAAAATAGTGCCAAGAAAACTTGTCTTTCCTTTTATAATATGCTTCAGATAATTGTTTTATATTCATTTTTGTGTATTCATCTGAAAATTTCTTTGTTGTGATTTTTCTACATGTTTGTAACAATGTGACTAATACATGAAAAATAAAATATCATTCCAATGTTTTAAATTGAATTTTTGAACATCCAACTTTGCAAAANTAAGAGAAATGTAATTTTGAAGTCTAATAGTATTTTGAAGAATAATAGCACAATTAAAAAAAATACAGTTCAAAGATGAACCAGAATATAATACAAATTTGATGTAAGATTAATAGGATTTTAAATTAAAGCAGGCTTCCTAAGTTGAACCTAATTATCCTGCAATATTGTTTTAGAAAGGCGATAATGTGGCTCAAATTAGCACCATGTTAAGGTTGCAGAAAATTTGAACGATAGTATGGTTTAACACAATGCAATATTTCAAACCGCATAGATTTTGAATAGTAATTTTGCCTCATTTTCTTTTTCAATATATTATTAATCGATATTTAACCTGCAGTACAGTATTCGTCTTTATAGAGTGAAACTTGCAGGGGAAGTAGGGAAAATTTTAAGGTTTGAGAGTTGCATAGAAATCCATGGCCTTTAATGTTATCGCACGCCGCTAGGGGCACTTTCCAATTATAAGCAGGCACTTTTAATAAGTTCACCGAATTATCAAATTACCATGAAAAAGTTATTTCTGAGAATATTTGAATGCAATAATTAATAGAAATCATAAAATGAACTCAAAATTAAGATAATTTATATAAATAAAGGTATCTGTTCAGAGGCACAAGTAGGAAAAGTTCATGAAAGAAAAACATTTCCAACGGCGTAAGACGCCTTTTCCAGCCATGTATTCTTAGTACTTATAATGTGCCCGACCTTTCTCTCCAAGTTTGCACAGTGATATTAGAATCACCCTGCATATTTTGAGTCTGTACACGACCCTAAGTCGCGATGGCTCAGTGGTAAAGAAATGAGTTATCATTATGAAGAATTGGGATTAAATTCTTCAGATCAATGGGCACCAACGTGTCTGCGAAGTAAAGACGGTTTGGAAGCAATGCTGACCACATTGTCACTATCATGCCGCTGGTCACGGCATTAAGGAGCTTTGACCACCATGAATCCTCAGATCGACAACGAGCTATTGCGGGAAGAGCTTTGCTTTTTAATTTTGCACACCACATGTATGTCGAGCCGATCAGAAATACATGCCACATTTCGGTTAATTTTTTATTATAGATTGTATGTTTCTTCGATAAACAGTAATTATGTTATATGTAATTTTTAGGCGGTGTGCTTTTAGAAGACAATCCCTGGAGTTGCAGCTGTGAGCTTCTTTGGATGGGTGACTGGATGCGTAGGTGGTTGAGAGAAACGTTTCGGGTTCATGTTCTTAACGTCGAAGCGTCACTTTATGTCAACAATGTAGCCAAAAAAGCAACGTGTTCCTTTAAAAACAATGTCACTTACTCGATTGTACATTTAAAAGAATCTGATGTCAATTGTCCCAAAAATAGTGCCAAGAAAACTTGTCTTTTCTTTTATAATATGCTTCAGATAATTGTTTTATATTCATTTTTGTGTATTCATCTGGAAATTTCATTGTTGTGATTTTTCTACATGATTGTAATAATGTGACTAATACATGAAAAATAAAATATCATTCCAATGTTTTAAATTGAATCTTTGAACATCCAACTTTGCAAAATGTATACACATTTTTTGTTTTTATTTCTAATATCAGAAGAGATGAACAGAAATTTTGTCTAACTTTTATTTATTTGTTTATTATTTCTAAGCTGAACTGTTGCAAAATAAAATTCAGTAAATTTCATTTCGAACGATATTTATTAAAAATGATAAATATGGACATTTAAAGGATGTTACCCACCGTAAAACGGTCTTGATTGCTTCTGCATGAAAAAGAACAGTCTACTAAATAAGAAATTTTGTATAAAAAAGCAATTTTACTTACATGTCTATGAAACTATAAAACTACTTTATTCCTTTATTTTCTTAAAATATGAGAAATCAAAGAATATTTTTCTTTATTTCATAATTGTGTGTCGTTTTTAAGATTTTTATTTGCTGCAGATGAATTAACAACATCTGCCTAGGGATCAAACATTTTCGATATTTGAGCAAATTAAAGAGCAAGTTTTACAATCATTCGTCGCCCTCAAAATCTTTATCTCTCTATAACGTTGCTTTCCACAGTAATTTAGGCCACGTGTCACAAGCTAATCATTAGTGGAAATGCAATCAATAAAAATAATTTCGAAAGTGTTTACTCTTGATTCCCCATTCATTATCACCGATACTTCATTTTTAGGCTCGTGTGTACACATTTTCACAGCTTTTTTTTAAAAAATTTTCTAAGCAGTCGAGAAAAAAACGAGATTTCGGGGGAAAAAAAACGTTCTACTCATCTTTTTTTGAAAGAAATATTAGAAATGATTTGTACGGAAAAAGAAATAATTGAGGAGATAATTTATTCTAGTTTTATTAGTTAAGTTAGCTAAGTATAATTAGGATGTCCGGAATTCAGACGTTGGTTTATGTTATTTAATGGTTTCAGGAAAAATTTGAAATTATTACTAATCATCAATACATAAAGGAGGATGAAACGATAAATGATGATATCGCGGACATATTTCGAAAATATATAAAATTGAAATCAAAGCACTTCCGCGTATGAAAAACAGTGGACAATAGCTGGACGGTCAAAAAATATGGTTCTGTAATAGATGGTTTAAATCTAATTAAGTTGTAAGGATTGGAGGAGGGGTTGAAGAATTAGAATGTTTATATATGGTTGTGCTATGCATTCGGCTTAGTTTTTATTTAAGTTTAAATGTTGTAAAAGATAATTTGTAAGATGACCACGCTGGCCGACGAAGTCGGCTAGTATTTACATACAACTTACATATTATTACAGTTATTGTCGAAATTTACATTCTAATATCCAGAGAAATAGCTGTTTTAACGTAACCTAATGATTTGGTGACTACCTTTCCGACTAATACCAATTCCTTACATTTGGTAAAAGAGCCAATTCTGGACCTGTTTGAATACAATTTTTGATAATAACTATCACAAATAAAATTTAGGATAATTTAGGTACATAAAAGTAGTTATTCAAATGCGCATGAGCAGCCAGTTTACAAGATAGAGGTGCGCCTAAGCGACTTAAGATGACATTTCCCGGTCATGAGTTGTTGTACATTTATCATTCTTTGCTGCGCCTCTACCTCCCTTTAACGTTTGAACGAGGAATTCAGAAACATGCTGTATTTTTATTTTTATTTTTAAGAAATCTAATTTTTTGTATAATTCTTAATTGGATGACTGCAAGTGATGTCATCGTAGGTAAATCGTAGAATTTATCTATTCAGCACTCAATCATGTTCGACAAAATCGTGACGTTGCTTACAGGTGTCCAATTAAATCTAATTTAAATCACGTGGTAAGGCATAATCACTTCATTTCTTCTCAAATTGCAAGTACTCAATTGATATTTTCATGAATTAGAAATTATTTTATAAGTTTTAGGAAAAATAAAGCATATAATATATTGTTTTACCGTAAAAAAAGGATTTTAATATTAATAAAAATAGATTTTAAGTTTTTTAACTATTCAAATGGTCATGAAATTTTTCTGTCGAAGTTCTTTTTATTTTAATTTTAGTGATAAGTAATTCTTTTATTCTATTGAAAAAATAATGCAATAACGTAAATCTAATAAAAAATGGAATCATTTATGAATGAAAAATGATTCCATGGAAAAGAAATACACGAGAATGCACATTTTAAAAAGATTAAAATATTCATTTAATATTATATTTGACCTAAACTAAGCAGGAAAAATTAGATATTTTATTTCAATTTTGAAACAAGTGAGAAATGGTTGAAATAAAAGATTTAGTTTGCAATTTCTTAAAAACCGGAGTAATGTGAGTTATCTGAACAAAATTGCATTTGATCTCCACGATTTACCAGGATTTGAATGTTAGTAACAATACATTTAGATTTTTGTATCTATAACATTCTACACTTCAATAACTGCTCACTAAATGCCCTATTTATTTTCGGGATGATAGTAATAGAATAAATTTGCCATTTTCATTTTATTTGAAGGAGGTAATAAAAGGAATAATCTAACACATATTCACCAGCTGGTGCATCAATAGCATGGCTATTTTAGCTATTATTTTTCTTATATTCTTATGTAGCCATAAGGGTCTAAAATAAAATAGCCGTAGCTCTCCGTAGGTTGAAAAATAAAAAAGGCATCCTAATCTTCTATGCCAGGTTGTTTAAGTACATTTTTGGTAAAAAAAAATTCTTTGTTCTAATTAATAAAAGAAAAATAAATGGTATTTAAACCATCTAAGTAGGAATTTTTCCTCTCAAATGCAAAAAATGGTATCCTAATCTTCTATGCCAGGTAGCTTAAGTACATTTTCGGTAAAAAATTCATTGTTCTAATTAATAAAACTAAAATACATGGTATTTAAACCATCTAAGTAGAAATTTTTCTGCTCATATGTAAACGGTTCACCGAAAATTTCGGTTTTTAAGATTATAATTCTTATTGCCACACATTTAGTAAAAAATAGAGAACTGAAAAATAAATTTAATCGAATAAATGGTTTTTATATCATGCTCTGAAGTATCATGATAAATTTACCAGGTTTTATTGCATGTTATACATATTTTATTGTTACCAGAATTATTGCTGTTTATTACTTTATTTCATATTATATGTTATATTACATGTTATTTTATTTTACCAAAATCATTTCCAAAATGCCTCGGGGAAAACTACAGAGCTTTTTTGAATCCAACCCACAAGACAAGAGAACTAGTGAATCATGCATTTGGACAAAATAGCGTTCCTGGGGGACTATTTGATGGAACTAACCATCATTTGCTTTACATGTGGAGGAAAAACCTCGAAAACCTTCCACGGTTTGCAATTCCGGTGGCAATGGGGTTATAACCCAAGATCCATTTACCTTTGAGGATATTATACATCAGCAATGTGGTCGGTGCGAGCCGGGAGCAAAATTCATATCAACTAGACACCAATGGGAATCGAACCTGGTTATCCTCAGTGGATGGCGAACGATTTATCCTCCGAGCCATCGCGGCTCAAGAGTATATGTTTGCCATGAGTCATCGGAGAAATTCGGAAACAACTGAAAAAAGAGGTGGATCAGTCTTCATGATGACAATACAAACTCAGACACATCGGTTCAAACAAAGGAAATTTTGTCCGGCCAAAACAAAGAATTAATGATTTATCCCCCGTACAGCTTTGATTTAGCACGCAATGACTTTTTTTATTCCCGCACATCAAAAATACATTCAAAAATACAAATACATAGTCAGTGATATTCGACCACTAAGAAAAAAGTTGAGGGAAATCAAAACACATGTTTTGAGTTACCTCATTCGGAATAAAAAAAAAATAATTTAAAAATTGATTCAAACGCATTCAAGTGTATTGATCTTCATGGGGAATATTTTGAAAATTTATGAAACTAATTTCGGTCATAAATACTGTCATTCGGGGCTACTTTGTGCAGCGGGGGCTACTTTGTGCAAGCTCGACTTTGGCATTTTTCAAGTGCTGCTATTCAGTATTATGTTTATTTCACGTTAAAAATGTGTGGAATTTGAAGATAGAAGTCTCTTCTATTACTGCAAACATTTTTTCGAATTTTAAAACAATCTCAGAGTGTGTTTCGTTCATCTGATGTCAAAAATTTTCCGAGAACGTCGGATGTCGAAAAATGTGCGTGGAAACTTTAGCTGTGAAATGCAAGGACGTTGATAAAACAATTGTCGTTTTTTTATTTATACATTAATAAACAATTATATCATGTTAGCGTTAAAAAAAATTTATAATTAATAACAAATAAACGGAAAATGAAAAAAAATGCACTGTGGGGCTACTTTGTGCAAAGTTTCATTCGTTTTTTTTTCGACAGAAAAATTTTCAGCCGTTATAAAAAAATACCTGGAACGAGAAACTACCGTAATTACACTTTAGAAAAGCTGCAACAATGTTTGCAAGCAGTTGCTGGTGGTATGTCGATTGCAGAAGCTTCTCGGAAGTACAAAATCCACAGAAATACTATCTCTAATAAAATTCACAAGAAACACGTGAAACGTGCTTGCAAACTATTATTTTTCTTCTAATGAATTAATCAAACGATTTAACACACAAAAATATATTTTATAGGACATCAGGTGATTTTGGCAGAAACTGAAGAGCAAGTTCTGTCGTGTTCATTCAAGCATGTTATGTTCAAATCTATCAATATTATAAATGTCAATGAATATGTAATAATTAGTATTTTTGAAATTTCACTATTTCAATGTTCAAAAATGTATATGGTTTCGTTTTGTTTAAACTCAAATGTTTTGAAATAAACATTCTTTTTAAGAAAAAATTCTTTATAGAAAATGGTTTTTTAACACTGAAAATTACTCTCAAACTAATTTCTTTACATATCTTGATGTTTTTGTTATTAAAAATGTCAACAATTAACTTTTTTAACAATTTTATATCAATATTTTACTAAAAACATGATTATTAAACT